GAAATGGTCGCTGCGCGCAGACGCTCGCAAGCAGCACAGGTGTCACCGCCAGCAGCGAAGAAGGAGGTACATAAGGACGGAAATTCGAGAAAACCAGCTGCAAAGAAAGGACCTGCCAAAAAGCAGAAGAATGTGACTTCGAAAAAACAATCTCCGAAAAAGAATGCGGATGTGCAGGAAATTATATCAGAAACTTTTGTAGCTGTATCTGAGCAAAGTAAAGTACCTCGAAAACGCGGACCTGCTGTACGAAAGGAAGATGTGGAAGCTAAAGGGAGGAATTCGTTGGGTAAGCGAAGTTTACCAATAGTGAAAGCACCTGTCGAAGGGAAGAAGCCACGGGTTGGAACAAAATCTCCTGCCACTCGCGCAAAACCTGGAAAACGCAACTTAGAGACACCAGACTCTGAAGAGGTACGAAAAGATGAGGAAGTTGTGGCTGATTCCGCGAACAGTTCAAAAGAAGCCCCTAAACTGGATGTGGAGAAAGACTTACTACATGAGGAAGGTAAAGTGGCGGAACAGATGAAGCAGGAGGAGACGCACGATCAATCTTTTGGAGATAGTAAGTCAGCGAACGACGAAAAGCAAGATACTGCGCAGAAGTCGACCCCTAAGCAGGATGATGATGACTGGGAGAATTTCGGAAATACTAGCGATGAAGTAAGTTATTGACTCTACGTGATCATTACTGTGGATCTCTGTGTCGTAACTGTTTCTTCTATAAGCTTGACTTTAATCAGGAGGAATCGATCGCTGCTTCTGAGCCAGTTAAGAAGAAGAAGAAGGTCAAGCCCAAGACTCTGCATCTAAGCCACTCAAGAAAAGCATACACTCTGGTTAGCTTCCCTTTAATAATTCACACTTGAAACGCTGTGACCTTATCCTCTTTATCATGTCTATTTACTCCTAGAAAATTTTGTTGATGTGCTGAGGTCAGGCGAGTGTGTGGTCGCCTCTCTGTCTTACTTAACTCATTTAATGAAATTTTTCAAATAGCCTTTACAGACCCATTTGTTCGTCGTAGTGGGCGAAATGTGGTCCGCAAGAGTTATGTGGTAAAAGATGACGACGGGGAGGACTCGTTGAGTTCGTCACCGTCTGCATCGGATAGTGAAAGCGAAGGTGTAGGCCCAGCGACAACTTCGACAGAGGTATAGATGGCGATTCCATTAATAGGTTTCAAGTAGTGATAATCCACGAGTTCAGCCTGACACTGAAACTGAAGCCTCTTCGGTTGCCGAAGATCCAGATGATAGCGACGCGAGCTTCACTCCATCCAAAGCTCAGCAACCAAAACGAGGCAGCGGAGGAAAAGGCGGAGGTAGCAGTCGACCACAAGCGAGAAGTTCGAAGACAGAACGGTTTGCCCAATATTTCTTGGAATTGCATGGTGTACCGTTTCAGCGGCGCCATGGCGGAAATCTGAACTGCATGTGATCGGTCATGGTTTCACTTTCCTGGTTACATCGTTTACGGATTACTTGAACCCAGTTTTTCAAGCCGCTTCAACTTGATGCTCCCTCAGGATCCTCTCGCCTGAGCAGTGGGTCATGACTACTGTGATCTCACGCACCCAGGGTGCATGCATAGTCGGTCGTCCGATCGTAGCGTTAGGAACGGTCGCACCGCCTTGGCCTATTGATCGCCAGCCTTGCCTGATTATTCGACGATCGATACGTATATCTAACGCTGTGCTACCGTTGCGATCGTTACGGTCGGACGACCGACTATGCCTGCGCCCTCACAACTTCTGCAAGATTGTAGCTGGCTCCCCATCCCGGAGGGTCCACGGACTATTTGAACTCAGTTCTTTAAGGCTTCTGCGGCGGGCTCTTTGTGCCCTTCGTCTCACAGCTTAATCCTTAGCTCATTCATCGGTGTGTTCCGAAGTACTGTGCTCAGCCATTGCGGCAGGGCCGTTGAGGAAAAATCAAGTATAAACCACCCAGGAGTCCCCTCTCCCTCCAAGGTTCAGTTTTAGGGCTCTCACCTTCTTCATTGAGATTTGGAGTCTAACCAGGTGTCGTTATTCAATCGTGAATGCTGTAGCCATTCGGGGCAGGACCATTGAGGAAAATTCAAGTAGTAGTAAGCGTTTGAATATCGCACTGTCGCGTTTTCGCGACCGTACGCTCAATAAACACGTATTCTTCGTGCTTTTGTAGTGGTTTTCCTGATTGGATACATATCAAGCATCTTATGATTATCCTTGATTGGGACCGGGCTCATGACCTTAGCTCTGAATCTATACTTCCTGAATTCTTTTCCACATCTGGGACCGCTTTCGTGAATAGCGATGAGGTTCGCAGGGTTTTTTCGGGTGCGTGAGATGGCCTGACTTGCAAAATCGCACCGGCTTCTCGTGGTCAAGAACGCCAAAATGCCGATGTCGCTAACGTATGTAGCTTGCAACAGAAATGGGTTTCAGCACTGCCACGCCATCTTTTGCATGTAGCCTAGCCAGTTTATTTGGATTGCAATTTTTACCGTTTAATTGTGGTCACGACTTATTCCAGGAAGTCGCATGTTTCGTCCTCAGCAAAATCAACGAAAGGAGGTGGAGGTACTTAGTTGTGTTTTGCCTCTTTTCCTTTTTCAGCGAAGTATTCCTCTCTTCGCTGCTTCCAGTGTCGAACGCTCCAACGAAAACCCAAGCTTCGCGCCCGACTTCTTCCAAACCACTGAAACCGTGGCAAAAAGTGAATGAACCTGTCACATTGGGTGACATTGTCGTACCTCCAAGATCATTGAGGCGTGGCGAGAGAAAAATGGCGAAGTTCAGGTACAAGTCCACAATTCCATTTAGTTTTTACTAGAGTCGAGCGCATTGTTTACTTTCAAGAAGCTTAAAACGAATGCACAAACTTATATTATCGCTATTAATCTTAAAGCACGGAGCTTCGTTGATCTTTGAGAGCCTGGTTTTTGTCTGCTGGTCTCTTTTTGGCCTATTCAGTATGTCTAAAAACAAGTAAGCGGAGTGAGTGGGGAATAGAAGCGCTGTGTTAAATTTAATTACTCCTTTGTTAGCAACTTCGTACCCGAATTCTTTATATGAGTCGTCGTGGTTTTTGAAGCGCTCTCGCTCCTTTTTCTTTTTTACACCTGAGTTGAAAGTTTGCTTGTGAATTGTTCCTTGAACCGGATCAAGTGTTTTATCAAAGCGAAAGCTTAAAGTCTAGTTAGTCAGAAATTTTTATAATCTTTATAATGCTTTTTGCTACAATTAGCAGGATCTGTACCGTATCACCCCTTCCCCAAACTTCTAAAATTCGAAAGTTATCTTCTTCGCAAGCACATCCTCATTTTCGACCCAATGTAGCCCTCTTTTTGATTGCTACAATTTAAGGATTCTTGCTGCGGCGCTGGCCGTTGGTAGGAAGCTGGAGAT